GCCATTATCATCCATTCATAACCATTCATTGGAGAGTATTTTAGTTGAAAATTGTTTAATTTAGTTTAAATGCACTTTTAATAGCTATAATAATAGCTAGTCTATGGTAACCGGCACTTAAAAGTTGTATAACAAATGCCCGTCAGTTGCAGTACTGACCGTAAGAGTGCACTATATATACGATTGCTTTACACAGGTGTGAGTGGTGTTGAGGGTGTGTTGATTGCAATGCATGTGTTGTTCGCCAATACCTGTACTCTATTTGGATGGCTTGCAGTGATTGCAGTGAAGTTGACATTGCAGTGACTGACTCGACAAACACAGCACTGTTCGTGAATGCAATGAATGACAACACAGTGACTGTGAATGCATTGAATACATGAACGCAATCACAATCAGTGGTTGTATTGGCGATCAGTGATCACTGAATCAGTCACTCAATCACCACTCAATCGGACAATCATTTACTCCCAACTCATCCATCCATTGATCGCTTACATGAATGTCTACTTAATTACCAATTGATACCAATATTAGTGTCATTTGAATGGTTTGACAAATGGATACCGAATTAATACGAGTGAAGGCCGCCTTCAATGGGTTTGTTCAACATTTGATGATTGTTTGCTTCACTTCGGGATCAATTGACTCATTATCTCACTATTGACTACATTTCAGGCAAATTATGGTCATATATATCAAAGACGATATATATCTCAACGACTTGTGTAACGAAATGCGAGACATTTGTCGGTTTGGTTCCCAACAGAGTTTTACTATGAAATGGGTTGACGAAGAAGGTATCCATCCATTTGTCACTTGTCATCACCAATGGATCCATTCATGAATGCATCAATTGGTGCCATTCAGTCACACAGACACTCATTTTTTATGCCAAACATTTCAAACTAATCCTTCATTCATTTGATCTCAATTTTGTTGACATATTTTACCACAAATCTCTCGTATGATATGACATATGATTTATGACATGATATTTGAATTATTGTTATTTTATTAGTAATTCATTTAATTTCATATCAAATATTGTCGAGATGTCTGTCGTATCAAATGTATTGAAAGCTTAACTTTTGTATTACCGGTGCTCTCTATGCTCTCAATTGAGTTTAATATTTAATTAGAAGCAAAACCATAGAGACTATAAAGCTATCAGTTTCTAACGAAACAGTTATCATATTTCCGGTCTATTAGTCTCCCAATACTTTATACTTAAACTAATTTTTCTAAATTATGTTTTCAGTTATGTTTGATAACTGAAATAATTGCTATGAATTCTCTATTGTCGTGCTTTAGAGCGCCGGTATTTAACGTAGACCGCTATTACATCGGTATATTGCCTATTAAATGACTTAACAATTATTAATAGTAACAAATTAGATCTAAACTAATGATTGGATGTGCTTTCAGGCGATCCCTGTGTCATCTCATCGCAGGCAGAACTCGAAGAAGCAATTCGTTTATATGAAGTGAATAAAGATTCCGAAATCACAATTCATGGTATGTTTGTCTCACTAATTATTGGACTATCAATTCATATTCATATTGATGTTGTAGTGTTTGCAAGTGTGCCACAAGTGCCGGGACTTCCCTGTCCTGGGGAAGACAGTTAGTATTTATTTATTGTTTAATTTGTAGCCATTTTCTAATCTATTGTTTCCTACGATAGAGAGTATATACCGAAGAGGGGCCCGAAGATGGAGAAAACATTATAGACTTAACGGACATATATTTCAGGCCAAACGATTCAATCGAGTGAGTTGTCGCACATAATTCTCGTTAACCTTATTTCATGTTTTACTAGTTTTATGAAAATTATCGCAAATAACTGATAAATATTTTGTTTGCTTTAAATGATGAAACATTTGTTAGCAAATCCTTAGCAAAGATTCCGTTATAACATAACTACTGCTGTATTAAAACGGTTGCACCGATTTGTGTTACAATCCTTATGCGATTCTCTCATAACATTGCTTTCAATTTGAAAATATATTCTACTGTATATAAAGTATTTCTGTTTCTCATCAACTTATTTGCTATTAAATTTCAATAATATCTCGAGTTTTAAAATAGTTTTAATTAGAATTATAAAAGTTATGAATGATTTAAAACTTATAAAAGACATGTTTATAAAACATCTCAAATATACGCCCTGCTTATAGTGTTCAATACTTGCCAATATACAGTATAGTTTTATAGTTTTTTTTGCTGTTTTTATCTACTGCCGTGAATATAAAAGTATAAACACCGGTATGTACGGTATACCGGAAATTTATTTGTTGTATAATTTCTATTCACTGAACAATTAATTTATTTCTAAACAGCGAGCGTTTTGTGCCTATTGTTCGGACCGAATATGG